CAAAGCAGATTAATGGTTGTCAGGGTTAATGAGACGTTAAAATAAGCAGAATGACAGCTGGGGATTTAGCTCAGTGGTTCCAGTGCCTGCCTTGCAAGCACAAGGTCCTGAGTTTGATTCCCAGGACCAAAAAAAAGCAGAATGCTTATGTGTATGATTCTGTTTTATAGCTAAACAGAAGCAATGGGTATACAATACTGTCAGTATACAAATTGCTTCTAAACTGTACCCTTTAAACTAGTTTTAGTCAGCCATAATGGCATGTGCCTGTAATCCTTGCACTCTGGGAGGATGAGTTAGGAGGATCACAAGTTCTGGGCAGCTTAGCAACCAAGATCCTGTCTCAAAATAAAAAGTAACTTTTTGTGTGTTTTGTAAATGTCCTGGGTTCAACCTCAGTACCATAAATAAAAAGATTAGTTTCATGTTACAGGAATTTAACCTAAATAAAAATACTGTTTATATGATTTAGTCTAAGACAAAACATATCTTAAACTTCAGCTAGTTTCAAAGAACTGAAATCATTTGGAAGGTATTCAATTACGGCAAAATTAAACTAGAAACTGATAATAGAAAAATAACTGGAAACTCTTCAAACAGTTAAAAACTAAACAACATACTTCTAAATAATCCATGAGTCAGAGGCGATACAACATTTAACCAAATGAAAATATAATATATTGAAATTTGTAAAAACAGTACTGAGAGAAAAATGTATAGCAGTAACTGCATGCAAAAGTCTTAAATCAGTTCATCTAAGTGGCTCCCCAAAGCAGAAGAAAGAGAAGAAAGCAGGAAATAATAAAGAGGAGAACTCAATGAAATGGAAACAGAAAAGCAGAGACAAATCAAGAAGCAAAAGTCTGATTCTCTGAAAAGGTCAATAAAATTGACAGAGGAAGAAGGAAAGAAAGAGGAAGTGGTAAGGAGATGGAGGGAAAGAGGCAAGGGAGAATGGAGGACAGAAAAAGAGAGAGAGATCATCAATATCAGGCAGTAAATGGAGCTCTCTCTACAGACACTGAAGGCATCAAAATGACAGTCGAGAACCATGAATAAAAATGGAATAATATGAACGCATCAACACATAAAAGTTTGACAAGCTAGGCCAGATTAATTTCCCTCAAATCACAAACTACCACAACTCATCCACCTAGCTTTACAACTATTAAGAAAACTGAATTCATAATTTGAAAATTATGACAAAAGATATCTCAAAGCCTAGATCCAATGGAGAGTTCTATAAAAATAGACACCTATTGTGCACAATCTCTTGTAGAAAGGGGAACAGGAAGGAACACTTCCAAATTCATTTTATTTAGGTGCTATTTCCTTGATGAGCAGGGAGGAAGGGGGAGGGGCAAGAAAAGGGTCAAGAAAATTAAAGACCAGTATTCCTCATGTATGTAAGAAAAAAGGAGGAACACAGATGAGAACGCAACAGAACAGGTTTATTAGCAATAAACCTGAGAGGGGACTGCTGGTGTGAGAACCAAGTGAGTTACAGACTCCGGCTTTTTATAGGGTTGAAAGAGGAGGTTGGGAGAGGGCTAAGAAAGGGAGTTGGGACTAGTTTGGTATGGCTTCGTTCAAGTGGGCAGCCTATGTACTGATGGTACGGGGAATCTGGGGAAGTGTAACTGACCTTCAGGCAAGCAGCCCGTGTTAGTGTCCATAGGGGAGGTTGGGGAGCTGATCCATAGGCAGGCAGCTTGTGAGTTCCAGCAAATTGAAACTTTAGAACTATGAGAACTAAGGGGTATTGTGAATGCTGCCTCGGTCTCCAGGTCAATGTATATAAATGAAAAAAAAAAAACCACCGAAAATATTAGGAATACGATTCAACAATATGTAAAGATAATTACAGACCATAACCAATTTTCTTATTATTCCAGGATATAAGACTGGCTCAACAGCAGAAAATCAACCAACGTAATCCACCATGTCAACAGATTGAAGAAAAAAAATCATATGTGCACAACTGATTGAGAAAAAGCATTTGACAAAATTTAACACCCATTTATTATTTTTATTTATTTATTTTGGTACTGGGGATCGAACTCAGGTCCTTGGGCTTATGGGGCAGGTGGCAGAACCACTGAGCTAAATCCCAGGCCCCATTTATTATTTTTAAAAACCTAAGAAATATAAAAATAGAGGAAAACTTTTAACTTGGGGTAGATATTGAATCCACTGCCTTCACACTGAGCTATGTCCCTATCTCTTTCTTTTCTTTCCCTTCTTTCCCTTCCTCCCTATCTTTCCTTATTTAATTTTTATTTTGAGGCAAGGTCTTGCTAAGTTGCCCAGGCTGGCTTAGATTTGTGATCCTTCTGCTTCAGCCTCCCAGAGTGCTGGGATTATAAGTATACACCCCCACACCTGACTAAAACTTTTAACTTGATAAAGAATATCTATAAAAACCTACAATTCACTGCCTACCTCGCAAGCACAAGGACCCAAGTTCGATCCCTGGTACCAACCCCCCCCCAAAAAAACAAACCTACAACTAATATTACACTTACAGGTGGAAAACTAAATGCTATCCCCCTAACAATGAAGCACTGGCATGCCCTTCTTTGAGCTTTTCTTCAATGCAGTGCAATAAATTCTAGCCAATGCAATGAGTCAAGAAAAATTTTAAAAGCATACAGATCAGAATGAGAGAAATAAAAAAATCGTTTCTATTTGTAGGTGACATAATTGTTAGCATACAGCATCTCAAGGAATCTTTAAAAAAAAAAAGACCAATTCTCCTAGAGCTAAATTCAGCAGTATCACAGAATTTAAAACAAACATACAAAAATCAGTTGGATTTCTGTATATTGATAATGACTATATGAACACCTAAATTAGAAAGAAAATACCATTTGCAGTATCTCTAAAATGGGATTATTTACTGTTATTCTATATATAATAGTTTAGATGCCAAACAGATTCCCTTTGGATACTGGCAAAATGGTAATGTAAGTGAGAGCACAATGCTTTAGAATTTTAAAATTACATTGAGCCAACAAAGAAACTCACCACTATTTTGATAAAGCAGTCAACTACTAGATTGTTGAATGTTTTAGATCTATTTTACTGCAGTTTTTAATTTCAAAATAGGATTTCAAAAACTACTACTATGCAAAATCATGGTCTATTGCAAGGAAATATAAATCTGATATAGATTCATGAGAAAATTTTCCAGTTCCACCGATTATCCTAGCTGGTCTTGTGTTCCACTGCCTTTTAGTGTTGTACGACCCTAAAATATGACAATCAGTACCATTCTTAATGTTTTATCATTGGGACTAAAGTAAATTATTCCACTTACCATATTCCAGATACAACCTATTTTTAGACATATAAAGTTACAGAATTGTGGAGGGGGGAGTTAATGGGGACTGCACTCAGGGCCCTGGACATGCTAGGCAAGAACTCTACCAGTGAGCCACATCTACAACCCCAAATTACAGAAATCTGATAGAGATATTTCTGAGGAAGCAAGCCACTTTTATAAATTATGCTCAGATTTAAGATCTCCACATGTATTTAGTATAAACACAGTTTTGGTTTTTTGAGATAGGATCTCAATTAGGTAGCCCAGGCTGGCCTCAAACTCTTGATCCTCCTGCCTCAGCCTCCTCAGTGTAGAGATTACAGACATGCTCCACTATGCCCAACTCTTCTTTCGGCTATTTTTGTCTCAAATTGAAACAACTAAAAATGTCTGGAGATGCCTGATGATTCTAGCTAATACAGTGCCCTGCTCTGTATCTCTACTTCCTTAGATCACGCGATACCTCTAAATTCTGAAAACAGGTTTTATTCACTCAGAATAAAAAGCAAAGACTTTATAATAACCACCAAGATGCTACTGATAAGGCAACAAACCCCTTCTATCCCTTTACATCTCCAACTTCAGGTCCTTCCATTCTCCCTGCCTATTCGTTCTGTTCCGGCCATCCTGTGCTCTGTTTATACATGACCCACATTCTGATTTGGGGGCTTTGTACTGGCTGGTCTTTCTCCCTGGAACATGGATCCCCTAAATTACTTGTATGGTTAAGCCCCCTATCTTCTCCAGAATTTTACAACCATATCACATTCTCATTCACATTCTCAAGTCTACAGCAGGACCTACCTACTTACAATGATAAAACTTCTCTTCTCAAATATTTAAACTCATTCTCTTTATTCTATTCTAATTTTAGGACTCATCATCTTCTAACATATTATATCATTTACATACTTACATATTTATTGTTTTTCATCTCTTGAACTCTCAACCCAAGCAAGGGCAAAGACTTTTGCTTAGTACTACATTTCAAAAGCCTGAAACAGGGGCCAGGGATTTAGCTCAGTGGTTCCGGTGTCTGCCTCACAAGCGCAAGGACCAAAGTTTGATCCCCGGTACCAAAAAAAAAAACAGCCTGAAACAACACCTGATAGGTAGTAGGTGCTCATAAAGATTTACTAACTGGAATAAACAATAAATGAATAAAATGGGCCTATAAACATCTGGCAATTTTAATTTTAATTAGTCTCAGCAATGCATTGAAAAATGAGCTTTGTTACAAAGAAAATCAATTTTCACAAAGCTCAATGCCTACATATGTACAGTTCCCTCGTCTACAGTGTCCCTCCTTTTCTCACTCCTAATATCTTTTTTTCAAATGATTTGCCAGACAAATTCCAATTCAATTTCCAAAAGTAAAAATAGGTCTTCCAAAAAGTCATCCTTATTCTCTTTAAATCTGGGTTAGATGCTCCTCTCCATGTACCTGTATTTATTTTCCCCCATCCTCTTCTCAAATATATTCCAGTGACTATTCGTATAACTGCTTCCGAGAGAAAAACAGAGCTCATTAACAGTAGAACCCATTTATTTTTTGTCTTTCTTTCACTGACATAGAACTCACAACATGTATCACAGACCGGGAAGCAACTACGTACAAATACATTATTTTAAAAAATCTACCAAACTCAATTAATGATAGATCACAGAAATTTACCCGCTACTTGCTTCCTTAGTTTTTCAATTTCTTCGTTTAAGTTCTTTATTTCTAAATCTTTGCTTGCTGTGAGTGGACCATCAACAGTTGAATGCTGTAGAGCTTGGACAGTCTGTGTTGATTCTTTAAAAAAAAAGAGTAAGAGAAAGAATGAAAAAATATTGACATACCTGAAAAATTTGAAATATGTACTAATATATTTCTTTGTAGAAAAACCTTTATATAGTTCAATAGACCAGAACATCTATCCTCTGACAAAGAGCATGTGAACACATTTTAAATTGTCATAAAAATTCCATTGCATGACTTTAAAATTTATTATAACTATAAAAAAGCAATATACAAATGAATCTACCTTCTAATAGATGAGATTTTTGGTGTTAAGTACTGTTGTAATACTCGGCTACTGAATCAACTACTCTGTCCCACTTGTCCTAGCAAGGAGCATCATCATGTGATAATTCAAAAAAACTGCATACAAGGAATTAAGTCTGATGTACGAAGGAGGCTTAGACATGCCATTATGTAATAGATAGAAGTCCTAGCCTTACAAGTGGAGGCCTGTCTATAGGTGGCATTGGCTCCTCAATTTAACTAAAGTAGTTAAAATAGATATATTAATTATTTATCTTACAGTGGGTTTTTGGTTTGTTTTGTTTTGGGTGGTATCAGGGATTGAACCCAAGGAGCACTGAGCTACATCCCCAGCCCTGTTTTTAATTTTTTAAGACAGGGTCTCAGTAAGTTGTCCAGGCTAGCCTCGCATTCAACAATCCTTTCTTCAGCCTTCCAAGTAGCTGGAATTACAGGCTTTGCCTGTAGTTATAATGAGAAGATCCAAGATATTAAAGAAACACTAACTATATATTGAGGCTTATTCTCAGGTATCACCAAAAGATATGGAAAAAAGAAAACTTCAAAACCATTTTATAAGGGGGCCGGGGATTTAGCTCAGTAGTTCCCCTGCCTGCCTTGCAAGTGCAAGGACTAGAGTTAGATCTCCTATACCAAAACAAAACAAAACATTTTATATCAGAAATGAAACCACCTTTCGTCCTAAAATAGGTTCCCTACTATTTATAGAAGGGTTCCCAAGTAAGAAGTCTCCCCCTTACTGCAATGATTCTGAGGCAGCACAAATCATTACTGGCCTTGAACTTGTGACCCCCCGCCTCGGCTGCCCAGAGGCTGGGATTACAGATGTTCCCACCTTGCCCAGCTTCACCTTCTCTTTTCTTGTCAAATCTAGATATTGTACTTTATTCATTATCTATCTCCTCAGAGTAGAATGCAAGCATTGCAAGAGCAGAAATTTGTGTCCCTGTCTATTCATTTTTATCCCTGGTCATATGCAGAACAGTTTCTGGCTCATTAGTGCTTAGTAAATGATGAATCAGCTTAAATGTTAACTTATGCCTTAGCTATTAATCATGTGTTAATATCAAAAGGTAATGACCTTACATTTTCACTGAATTTGCTTTGCATGAATGATATAAATCACGGGTAAGAATAAAAAGAATTCAAACGTTAAAACAAACCCCTGGGACATAGGAATTTCTCATTTGTCATGTAATAGGATCGCTTCTCAGCTTTCTGCCTAAGATCAAGTGTAGCACCTATAATGTAACAGGAATCAACGTCTCATTCATTGCTATATTGCTTCCGTATATATACTATTTATTTAATGAAATATAAAAATACATGTTGAAAAAATCTTATTTTCAAAAACAGCATGGAGCTGGGAAAGCAAACATGACAAAAGCAAAATTAACTAGAGAGGAGTGAGCTCTGCTGAGGTGAGAGGGCTGTCAGAAATGCTTCTAACTTGGGAGCTTTGTCCATTTCTGTGAGTGAATTTAGGTTCAAGCTTGACCTAGGCTGAGGACAGCATGCTGAAAGAAAACCCTTCAAAGTTTCTGGAGTACGTGGGGCTGGTTCAATATTTGGAAAGCTCAGGATCCCTGCACACATGGTGCCCTTGTCCCTGTAGCAGTTAGGATAGTATAGAGTTTACTTTGGGATGGAAGAGTACTAAGTGGGAAAGAACGTCATGAGGAGAACACTATGCTGGAAATATTCTATATGTTGATATAGATGGAGGATACAGGAGTGCACACATATATAAACATTTACTTTTCATGCACATAAAATAGTGCTTGCACACATTACTATATGTCTATCACCATATTAAAAAGACAAAGAAGCCAGGAATGTTAGCACATGCCTTTAATCTCAGCACTCTGGGAGGCTGAGGCAGGAAGAGCAAAAGCTCAAGCTGAGCCTGGGCAATTTAGCAACTTAGTAAGACCCTGTCTCCAAAAAAAATGGCAGGGCAAAGGTGTGGGTTCATTCACTAGTGCTGTAATCAGCCAGTCAATCAATCAATCAATCAATCAACCAGTCAAGCCTGAAGTAATTCACATCCAAATATTTTAGCAATTTACTGAAGAACAGAAAATAGTCTGTTCTATTGATGACAATAGTGTCTTTCTCTACTGGCCCTCAAAAAGTATGATTGCAGGGCCAGGGATTTAGCTCAGTGGTTCACCGCCTGCTGCGCAAGTGCAAGGACCCAAGTTCGATCCCTGGTACCAAAAAAAAAAAAAAAGTATGATTATAACATTTTATGATTGTAAAACTTAGATTCTTTCTCTCTTAGGAGTTACACGTTCTTGATTATTTGTTAATACATACATTCCTTCATTCACAAAATATATAAACTAGATTGTATGTTATATCCTTCATTTTGGAGAAAATGAAGCAAAGAGGAATCTTGAGTGCTGGGGATGAACTTGAGTTTGAATTACAAATAGGATGATCAGGAAAGGCCTCACTGAAAGCCTTCTTGAAATAAATACCTGCTTCAAGTAAAGAGGTAAAGGGATAAGTCCTGTGAATATCAAAGAGAGAACATTTAAGGTAGAGCAATGGCTAATGCAAAGGAGGTGGTGTTGGCATCTGCTTGGCTGGTAGAAAGAACAGCAAGGAGCCCTGGGTGGCCTGAATAGAGAAAACAAGGAAGGAAGTAGTAGGAAATGAAGTATGTAAGAAGTCTTATCATTAAAAAAAGTCTCATCATACATGACCTTAGGCCACTGAAATTAATTTGGTTATTAATGTGAGGTTGGAAGCCTTTGGGAGTAGGGATAAGACAGTGAAATAAAATAATCTAAATTAGATTTTCATATGATTAGCTGTTTGGAAAACAAACTGGAAAAGTAGTGAAGGGGACAGGAAAAGGTACAGCAGAGGAAATCAGTTAATAAGTTGTTGTAATAATATGGAGAACTGATGGTGATTTGACACAGGATCAGAGCCCTATGGTGAGTGACAATCAGATCATGGATCTATTACAATGTACAGAGCTAACCTGATTTGCTGATGTGGGATGAGAAGAAAAAAGAAGGCTTAGGGATGGCCATAAGGTTTTTCTTCTGACAATAAGGAAAGCCTGCAATATTCTAGGGCACTCTAACAATCAAAGGTCAAAGAGATAAGAAAAAAATCAGCAAAGGAAACTCTAAAATGGCTGTTTTATGAGGAATAAGAAAAACCAGGAGAGTAAAATGCCCCAAAAGCCAAAAAACGAAAGTGTTACCTCGAGGAAAAGTGCTTAATTGGGTCAAATAATGATGGTAGGTAAAAAGATATGGACTCAGAAATGATCACTGGATTTTACAACACGGGCTAAATAAATGGGCTGGGGGAGAAACATAAGCATTCTGGATGGCACTTAGGGCTGAACAGAGATTGGTGTTCATGAATTTGAAACAACAAGAGGCAACATGTTGTGTGTACTGAATATGCTATCTTAAGCTGCACAGGTGCATATATATAAAGTTGCATTTAAATGCAGTATGACAAAAAGAAAGTGGAATTACAGATCTGATGATATATGTGGAAGTATGATTATCACTGACTACAGAATGAGGAATGAGAGTATGTTCTATGGTTTGGACCTTAAATGTCTCCCAAATGCTCACACTTTGAAGGACTGATCACCAGCATGTGGCACCACTGGGAAGTGGTGGAAGCATCAGGGGACAGGGCCTAGATGCAGGAAGTGAGTTACTCTGAGGGTAACCTTGAAGGGGATCTTGACATCCCTTCCCCACCCTGTTTCCTAGCTACCACAAAGTTAACAACATATGCCATCACTATGATATACTGCTTCACCACGGGTCCAAAGGCAACTGGGCCAACCATAGACTAAAATCTGAGAAACCATGAGCCAAGGTAAATCTTTCCTCTGTTTAATTTGTATATTTTGTCGCAGTGAAGGAAATCTGGTAACACAGTGTAAGAAGAACAGTGAAATGGTAACGATAGGGTGATACAGAATTGGAGATGATGGTGGAATTGAAGGAATACTGGAATTAAGACACTAGAGAGCCCATCTTGTAAAACAGTGAGTGCAAAAGCTAAAAGGCCAGATACTAAGGATAAAAAAAATGGAAGCCAAGAAAGCTGGTGCACTGGCATAGTTGAAGACAGTAACCCTAAGGCAGTATGGAGAATCTTTTAGAGCTTTCAATGGTAACAAATAACGCACTGCAGCAAGCATGCCACAGGCTCACCACCACTATCCGGAGGCTAAAAAGCCCAAGAAGGGGAACCCTCCTATAGATGAACCCCTGTTCTGGTTAGAGGAATTGGCAGATATCCCCAATCTGCCATCCATATATTCCAGAGATGCCATATATGAGAGAAAGTACTCAGCTGGCTATATCCAAGATTGAAAAGAAAAAAGAGAAAAAGTTCTTGCTACTGTTGCAAAACCAGCTGGTGGTTAACAAGAATGGTAGAACTAGGGTGTTTTAAGCTTTGCAAAATGCTTTGATACTATGCTACCAAGTACATACCTCAAAAGCTATAGAGCAACACAACAAAACCCTCAGTCAACATATGAGAAAATTCAAGCTAGTAGCACTCCTAGGAGTATCTTTAACACTTTCATTGGGTGCCACACAGGGAAGAGTGTGGTTTTCCTGAAGCAGGTAAGCAGCAGCTTCCTACTGTGACTGTGACTGGACCTCTGCCTCTCAATGGAGTTCCTCTGCACAAAACACACCAGAAATCTGTCACCACCTCTACAAAACTTGGTATCAACTACATGGAAATCTCAGAACGCCTCACTAATGCTTACTCCGTGATGCAGTAGCTGCAGAAGCCCAGACACCAGGAAGATGAAATCTTTAACACAGAGAATGAAATACAAGATTACAGAGCAGTGCAAGGTTGATCAGAAAGCTACAGATTCACAAATGTTTTGAAAAATCAAAGCTATTCTTCAGCTCCAGGGCTACAATGCAATTTGACAAATGGAATTTATTTTCACAATTTGGTGTTCTAAATTTCTTACCAAGAATCTAATTAAATAACAGAGACAAATAGACAGACCTGAAAGATCCCTGGAAAATTATAACCAGGAGATTATGAAAGGTTTGCCTGAAATTGAGATTTAAAAGTTTAAATATTATAAACTTGAGATTTATCTTGCTGCCATCAGAAGGATGAAGCAGGGGGAGATTAAGATTTTTGCCAGTGGGGCCAGGGATTTAGCTCAGTGGTGCTGCCGCCTCCCTCGCAAGTGCAAGGTCCCGAATTCAATCCCTGGTAGCAAAAAAAAAAAAAAAAAAGATTTTTGCCTATGAAGAACTAATAAACTAGGTCAAAGCTTGTAAAAGGTTCACCTTTGTGGATTTTATTTTATTTTATTTTTTGGTACCAGGGATCGAACTCTGGACCTTGCACTTGTGAGGCAGGCAGCAGAACCACTGAGCCCCTGGCCCCCACCTTTGTGCATTTTTAAATCACCAGACACTTTGACAGGAACAATGCTACACAGTGACAGTGGGGTAGGAGCAATAATTATTTTTATTTTTATTTTTTTTTCGTACCAGGGATCAAACTCAGGTCCTTGTGCTTGCAAGGCAGGCAGTGGAACCACTGAGCTAAATCCCCGGCCCCAGGAGCAATAATTCTTAATGATTGAGAAAATATGATATGAAAGTCAGTAAAGTACTATACTAGAGTGAGAAGGATCCTTGTTGTCCTCATAGTCTCCTTTTCCTTTCTCCATATGTATTTATTTCCACACATTTATATATGTATACACACACACACACACACACACACACACACACACACACAACCAGATGGGAAACAAATACTTTGTGCTGTTTACTATTAATTGTATGATTTTACATAAATGGCATTCTATTATGTCCTGTATAAATTTTTACAACTTGACTCTTCACCACTTATAAAAGACTTGCTTTTAAGATAAAAACAACTACTTGGAATACAGTTCATAACATGATGTTACCAATTCAAAAGAAAAATATCCTTAAATATATTTACCTTGAAGCTTTCTACTAAGTTCAAGTTTCTCTTGTTCAAGGCGCTTAATTCTTCTTTCATAAGCTTCAGTTGCTAAGTTGTTATCTAGAGTCCTCTGAACACTAACATCAAGATCTACTGAGGTGAGACCAGCTGTAACTCTTAAACAGCTCCGATCAGAAAGAACACTAAAGAAAAAAAAAATGCAGGTTCACACTGCAATAAAAGTGTGAAGAAATTGTTCATTTTGAAATTGTTCATTTAAAACATACATTTGAGTAGCTACACTTAGCTAGAACGGTATAGAAATATTTTTTGAATAATTACCATAAACCACTTTTATAAGTATTTTTAAAAGGAAAATTTAAATCCCTCAAATTATCTTTAACCTTAAAAAAAAACACACATGAAGTCTGTAGAAGGGTTATTAGTAATTTAAAATAATTTGACCACCTGAGTGAAATAGTTAAACAAATCAACCATGGTACTCTTAACCAGAATTTGAAATTCAAAATTCAAATCTGAGGTTCTTTCTTTAATTTGAGCTATTAAAAAAATGTAAGAAGTGTTGGACATTCAGCAGTAAACAAAAATCCTTGCCAATATAGGGCTTAAATTCCAGTGACAGGGACAGTAATAAGATAATTAAGTAAAATCTTCAGTGCATTAGAAAGTGTTAAATGCTAAGAAGAAAACACAAAGAAGGAAAATAGAGAAATGAAGCCCTGAGGAAGAGGAGATAAAAATTAAAAGTGGTCAGGAAAGCCATCTATGAAAGTAACTGTTAGGAAAGGCAAGCATAAAGGGACCAACCAAAGAAATATCAGGAAGAGGAGCAGTCTAGGCAGATGGAACCCAATTGCAAGATTCCAGAAACAAGGCTGTTGGACCAGAAAGGCAGCCTGTGTAGACGGAGTTGAGTAGAAAAAGATGAAGAGCAGTAGGAAATAAAATTAGAAAGATAAACGTGAATCAGCTGAGTAGGGCCTTGTAAGAACTTTGGTTTGGAGTTATGATATAAAGTCACTAGAGTTGGGGAGTGAAGAGGACTGGTACTGCACAGGAAGTGACATACTTCTGACATCTTTTAGCAAGATAACTTTGCATAGATTCAGAGAAATATAAAGAAGTTATTATGTAGATGGTTAAGATAGATTTCAAATACAAAAGAAAAGGTCTCAGCTGCAGATACACACTTAGGAGTCATCAGCAAATATCTGGGAGAACACAGGAAGGGTAGATGGAAAAAAGTCCAAAGACTAAGCCCTAGAACACTGAAAATACTGATATTCAGAGATCAGGAAGATTAGGAAAACTCAGGTATGGAAAATGAAGAGTGGCCAGCAAGACTAAAAAGAAAATCTGGAAAGTGCTCTAGAAGTAAGAGGAAAAGCATGTTATAGAGGTGTGGAGCTGTGGCAAAGATGAGACTAGGCCAATGAGTAAGACTAGGACCGAAAAGTAATCATTAGATTTAGTAGAATGAAGATTCATGGTGACTGTAACAAAGGAAGTCTGCATGAAGTGACAGTGACAAGAGTATAGTCCTGACTGGAATGGATTCAAGGAAGAGCAGCGTGAAAAAAACACAATATAGTCAACAGAAGTAAATTTGCCATACTACAGATCAGATAACTGGTTAGTAACAGGTGAAAGAGAGGGACCCAGAGACGTTTCATATTTTAAGATGGAAGAAAGAACTGCATAGTTTTAAGCTGAAGGAAATGATCTGATGATGAAAATGACACAAAAAGGGTAAAATGTATGGCATTAAAGTGAGCAATATACTATGCTGGGCAGAAGAGGATGGACAGGGTTGGCCTTAGCTAGAAGCTTTCATGAACCATCCATGGTAAGAAGACCACATATAAGTCCAGAGTTGTGCAGGTGGAAAATGTGATCAGAGCTTGTAGAAGTTGTCTGATGCTGGCTTCAGTCCTCTTGGTGAAAGAGGAAGCAAGAGCACTAGCTTAGAGTGAGATTTGGGAAGACTGAATATACTAGAGTAATATAGTACATCTGCCAAGTAATAAGCTGAGGTTGGTAAACATGAACTTAAAGTACGACTTAAGAATGGTCAGTTCTCTGTAGTCACTTTGAATTGCACAGGTTCAGCAGAGAATTGAATTATAAATGTTGACATAACAAAGAAAGTGTAACAGACTGAGACAGTGAGGGAACTGAGGTGACACACAAGGGGTGATGATAATCATTCACAGTGGAATTTAAACTGGTTACGGAGGAACAAGAGCATCTAAGTGGAATGAAGTGTGAATGGAAGGATGATACAACCAATGTGTTGAAAATTCCCACGCTTAAAATCTACAGAATATTTTATTTATTCAATAGCATGAGACTCTTCTAATTCTTACCCCACTGCTGAGCGTTAGATTTTGAGCTTCCTGTTGGTCCTATTCTTTCCCTTCCTAAAAGAGGTAAGATTGTGTGTTCTATTCATGTTGTAATATCTAATTCATCCTGTTTTTACATTCTTTAATTTGTAAGGCTCTTATATATCATATTTTTAAAACTTCAATTCACTTTAATTTGCTACATATTATCCAAATGTTGAAACTTACCAGCTACTAGTATATGTAAAACCAACAAATGGCAGATGGTGGCCAGAAAATGCAGTATGTGTTGGTGGGGGCATTGTTTCCTACAGGAAAAGAAAACATCTAGTAAGAAACAGGGAGCTATGATTAATAGGTCAGACTATAAATACTGGCAAAAAAAAAAAAATACTGGCAACAGGAAATATGTGACTGTTCACATTGGGAATACTAATTATTTGGCACAGATGTACAATGATATAAAATTTAGACCATAAACAATGATACTGTAAAATCCTACTAAATTAAAATGAAGACTGAAAGTCTGAGAGTATATTCACTATTAATATATTCTGTATTTGTGAGTTTACATTAGAAACTAAAATTTATTTATTTATTTTTTGGTACCGGGGATTGAACTCAGGATCTCGAGCTTTCCAGGCAGGTGCTGCACCACTGAGTTACATCTCCACTAAAATTTATTTTTAAATACCAAATCAATACCTAATGTTTTTGAGATCATTCAAGACATGAAAAACAAAACAAAGATTTGAGTTAACCTTTATGCATATTCCTAGCTGAGGATAAAAAGGAAACATTTTGTTTTCTCATTTAAGCTCTCACACTATAACCAAATGTCCTTTATAAGGTCTATTTGGGTCTATGTTTTTCATATTTTTGTGCCTTTTGCAGATAATTTTACTTTTTAAAATGTCCCCTAATCATAGCAATAAAGTGCTACCTAGAATTTTAAGTGAGAAAGCTATAATGTGCCTTTACAGAGAAAATAACATGTGTCAGATAAGCTTCCTTCAGTTATGAGTTATAGTGCTGTTAGACATGAGTTCAATGATAATGAACCAACAATTTATATTACATAAACCAGGTGTGGTATTGCATGCCTGTAATCTTAGCACTCAGAAGGCTGAGACAGGAGTATCGCTGAGAGTTCAAGGCCAGGCTGGGCTATACAGTGAGTTCAAGGCCAACCTGAGCTACACAGCAAGACTCCATCAAAAAATAAATATATATAATATATTACATACTATAGTATATTATATATATTTATGTTAAAAGTACCACATAAGGTGCCTTTAAATAGAAGCTCAGATAAACAGTTATGTATCCCTTGACCAGAGGCTCTCAGACACCTACCTTTGTATGCATTACACAAAGCTAAAGGTCAATGTTAGTGTTTACGGTAACTATTACTGTGAATAATTAGATTTATCTGTACCACGCAATTAATTTGGTTTCTTTTTTTTGTTTTTGTTTTTGTTTTTTTCTTTTGTGGTCCCAGGGATCAAACTAGGACCTTGCGCTTGCGAGGCAGGCAGCAGAACCACTGAGCTAAATCCCTGGCCCCCGTGCGTTTAATTTGAAAGGCTAACAGTAAATACAATTCTAGTAAAAAATTGGTAAGGAAGTCCATCTATTTCTTTCTTGTAATTTTTTTTAAAAAGGAAAGTATAAGAGAAGTTCTTATCTCCCTTGAATATAGTATCAAACAATAAAAAGTGGTATTAATATTAAAAATGTTCATAAAGAATTAAAACCATAGGCAATGAAATAACTGAATAAAAATGCAAGCTCAACCAGGCCCAGTAACACATGCCTTTCCGTCCAGCTGCTTGGGACACTGAGGCAGGAGCATCACTCGAGACCAGAAGTTCAAGGCCAGTCTGGGCAACACAAAAAGACCCCATTTCAAAAAAAAACACTAAGTAAATAAAAGCTCAAGAGGGAAAAATAATAAAGTTTTATGTTCTTATTTTCTAAATTTTATTTTTAATATAACTTAATGACTCAGAACAGAGGCAACACATCATCTGGAGCTCAATGGGTATGGCCCACAAGCTAAGAATGAATGACTACTTAAATGGACCGCTTGTATACCTTTACCTCAAGCAACAGCCATACTTCAGTCTAGTAAGGGCATGGACTTGCTTTCCCCATTCATTTTATACCAAGTTTGCTTTTTTCAGCATCAATACCACTGGTGCAGGTATTTGGCCCTGCAAATCAAGTTTGCCCACTCTAGCAGAAAAATTGCTAGTTTTTACAGCCAGCTTCCAAGAACTACCACAACTGTCACAACCAAGTAGGTGATGAAGGTGAAGGGATGTGGTATATGTGATTTTAACCAAAGTTCAGGAGTTTTTCATAAATCAATCTTTCTCCATTTATTTCCATTTGGTTAATACATTAAGCTCTAAATTGACTGCTTTCGGGAATTTTGTTCAGTTTCATGGCTGGTTTGGGGAGAGATCTGCCAACCCTTTTACTTTGCTATCATGAAATCCACTGAAGCATCTAATTTGTCTTCATTAGGAAACCTACTGGCATAACTTATCTGAGAAGTAAATCTTTGAATTTTTCTCTTAGTTATAAATAATTATGTTGACCTCAGTTAACTTTCTTAATTTCTAGATTTATGATAAAGAAGCCCTGGAAGCCATGTTGTTTGACTGTTAAGTGATAAGGTGGTGCTAGCATAATACTCAAGAGACCAAAAGATTACTTTATAGTCATATTCAAAAGAAAAAGCAGGACAGAAGTACTTCTTGTTATACTTACAGAATTTTTTAAACAATCATCATCCACATCAAAATTTGATGTATCTGTTGGGCTACTAACTTCTGGAATATAAGGTGCTTCACAGTTTCTAATATTATCCCAATCAATGCCACTAAAAAATGGGTGTTTCTTGAAGTCTTCTATTCCATTTTGACCAAGTCGATGTTCTCTGCTACAAATGAGTCTTCGAATAAGATCCTTAGCGTTTTCAGAAACATCAGTCACTTGGGCTGGAAACTGAAACCTCTCCTATACAGAGAATAATAGAAGTAAAATATAAATCAGTTTCTAGTTTACCATATAGAATAGCTGACTTATTTATTTTCTCAAAAATACACTCCTTTTTAAAAGTATCTAATAAGTATATGCTGGTACATAGAACTGACACTAAAAGAGATCAGAGAGGAATTTTCCTGAAAGAATTTTAATTCCATATGTGACATAGCCAAGATTACTATAGATAGTATTAAACAGTATTAGTACAGATATGCTAAACTAAATATAAAAATTTAAACTGCTATTAAAATGAAGAATTTATTAATAATGGCATTTGACTTAATATTTCAATACAACATAGACGATCAATAATGTTCATATACAATACAAAGTAGTAATCACCTGATAATACTAAACATTTTTAAAGAATTTAATACCTATCTGACACTAATCAACATGATTTATTTATTTAATTCATTTACTCCTCACAACAATCATCTTAGGTGAGTACTACTATTCTTACAGAAGAAGAAACCAAGACACAATGGTTCAAGTCATTTTCTCAATGTCACACTACTAGTAAATGACAGAAATAAATCTTGAACTGAAGCTGTCTCACTTGAGAACCTGTGCTATTAAGTGCATGTTACGCTACAATGATTTCTTGCAGCTATTTTCAGTTTTTCATCTCTTCATAACTATTTAGAGCACCATCTTTGCAGCATAAACTCTATAAAGTTTATAGAACTAATTATTAAACAACTAATCATAACAGCATCCCCAGAACACATTAAAAAAATAGATTATCATTCCCTTTGGGAATATTCATATTCATATTCAAGGTTCCTGAAATTGTTCAGTGTCTTATGAAACATATAATCAAAACCTTTTCTCTTCTTACTATATACAATCTATTCTATTTCCCTTAGTGTTATGCTAAATGGATTCAAGCTTTACAAATTTTTCCTGCTGTGCATTTGGATTGTTGCTAATGTTTTGTGATCATAAATAATATTGGAATAGACAGTCTATATACATGTTTGCTCTAATGAACATTTACATCAGGTGGATTGTTAACTGAGGTTACTCAATTCAAAGGTCTAATCATTTTGTTTCTCTCAGTAGTGGGGACTAAATCCAGTGCCTTCATACCAAACTATATCCTTAGCCTTAAAATTTTTTTTTTTTAATTTTGAGAAAGGATTTCACTAAGTTGACAGGTTGCCTGAGCTGGGTTCAAACTGGTGATTCTCCTGTCTCAACCTTCCACAGTGCTGAGATTACAGGTGTGTGGCACCATGCCTAGCTCCATTTTTTAACATTTGTAACTTTGATGGAAAGGTTACACCAACTTATATTCCCCTTAAGAATGTCCCTGAATGCCCACCTCATTGCATTATTTATGTATTCTATGTACATACTATTTTTCTTTTTATTTTTGCCAATTTGACAGAAATAAAATATCACCAGGTGTAGTGGCATACACCTATAATTCCAGCACTCAGAAGGCTAAGGTAGGAGGATTGACATGAGTTCCAGGCCAGCCTGGGCTACAAAGTGAGACCCTGACTCAAAACAAAACAAAACAGTGGAGAAAGGTTCCTTTTTCCCCACAGCCCCACCAGCACTTTTATTGGTTCATTTCTTGATAGCAGCCATTCTTTCTGGGTTGAGGTAGAATCTCAGCATTGTTTTCACTTGCATCTCTGGAATGACCAGTGACGTTGAACATTTTTTCATATGTTTACTTGCTATTTCTACTTCTTTGTCTGAAAAACATCTGTTCATTTCAGATGCCCATTTTTGGATTGGGTCTTTAAATCTGGGAGGTCTGACTTTTTTAAGTTCTTTATATATTCTAGATAGTAACAGCCCAATTGCCCATCAACTGGAGACCAGATAAAGAAAATGTGTTTTTTTTTTTATAAAATGGAGTATTACTCAGCCATAAAGAATGAGAAATTAGAGGCATTTATAGCTAAATGGATGCACACTGAGGACACACTCTTAAGTGAAATAAACAGGACACACATGTAAATACCAAATAGTTTCTTTGGTGTGAGAAACTGAAAGTGCAAATAAGGA